TCTCTCTCAGGGCTAGGGATTTTGAACATTTCTTCATGTGCTTGTTGGCCATCTGAATGTCTTCCTTGGTGAAGTGTCTGTTCATATCCTGTGAGGCAAGTATTTTTTACCTCTGAGTCTGAAATGGGAATTCTGCAGATCAGAATTAAAGGTAACACAAGCTCACAGGTATTCACAGCTTCTCACCTTGTGGTGTTTATAGTAGTATGCAAGAAGTTGGGGCATCCGGTCAATTTCCATAAAAACCTTCACAAAGACTTTGGCCTGATCTAAAATGGAACACAAGAACACAAAACATTACCACTGCCAGGCTTTCTGCTGCAGCCAAGACAAAGAATTTGCCAGGTTCAATGTGACTGTATATAAGCAAGTATCCAGAAGCTCTTACACAGAACAAAGTAATTCAGGGTGGGAGATAGCAAAACTGAAAAACAAAGAATGAAGCCTGGAACTCAGTGATTAGAGAATGCATTCACAATGCATTTTAGTATCAAGTGGCATCATTCACACAACCAAGTCTACACATCAGCAAGCTTATCTTAAGACACTAGGGGTAAAATACATTCAAATTAGGGCAAAACCGGGGGGGGGGGTTGGAAGCAAGTACAGGGTGCACAGGTAGGGGGGTCCTCATTGTCAAGGCGTCAAGAGCCTCCTTAAATTATGCTCCCTCGAGCCTGACTTGCCTCACCCTTGTTGTGGCTCTGATTAGAATCATAGTGTCTAAGACAGAAGGGATGTAAAATAACTCATCAACAGGCCTCACTCAGTAGGGGAGAAAAGTGAAGCTCAAAGAGCTTGAAAGTGTCAAGGGCAGGGACAGAACTGCCAGCATACAGTCCAAACTGAGCCAAAGGAATTGCTGGGTTCTGACCATTCCTGACCTAAAAACCCAAGCAATCTGATGACTCAATCTAATATTCTGAAGAACTGAGAAACAATGATAGGCTTTTATCAGATGGCAAAATCAAATCAAGTTCATTCCTGCTCCTAGGCTTCTATTTAGGTCAAGGGAGCTCTGGTGGCCTAGTGGCAAGAAGCTGCGTTGCAATCCCAAAGACAAGGGGTTCCGATCCACCAGCTGCTCTGTGGGAGAAAGATGGACAATCTCCTTAACTGTCTCTGAAAAACCTTTAGAAGGTCAGCTATGGGGTCGGTTCTGACTCAAAGGTACATCACAACAAGGATAATCTGGCTTGCCGTAGTCAGAGAGGACTTTCCTACTTCATTCTAATGCAGTCAAGTTGAAACTGACTGCTGGTGGATTCGAACTTCCAGAGAAGCACCACCTTTGGGTCAGCAGTGTATCCTTGATGGGTTAGACCACCACAGCTAGCCACCCTAACTAGGGATTCCCATCTGCTTTCACTCTTTCTTAGAAATTAGCATAATAAACACTCAATAAGTGTATTAAATTAATGGTTCTTTAATACAGCACCATTTTTCCAATTTTAAGGGGCATGTCCATAGTGAAAAAAGTATAGTAGGTAAGATGGAAAAGATTGCCTCTAACTCCATCACATTCTGTTAACATGTTGGTTGTTCAAAATGTGTACTGGTATGAAGATAGAATTACAATTTTTTAAGTTTCTAACCAACAGAATACATTTTGGGTTTTTGTTTGTTTGTTTGTCTATGTCTTAGGGAAACAGAGATGAGATGAGCCCTGTCCCCAAGGCCTTCTAATTTGGTGGGACAGAAAAACTGGCAACCTCCTCAGGGCTTGAATAGACTTTGTTATTTATTAAAACTAATAATAAAAGTTTGGAAGCACGAGCAGCATCCAGTTCTGTAAACAGCTTGTGCCTCCGGACACCCTATGAACCTGGAGAAAGGATGAAAGTCACACAAGTGGGGAGCTCTGGTGGCCTAGTGGCAAGGAGCTGCAACTACAATCCCAGAGGTGCACGGTTCGAATCCACCAGATGCTCTGCCGGGTAAGGAGGGACAATCTCCTCCTGTACCAGTCAGATCTGATTTGACGGTACACGCACACAAAAATAATAAAATAAAAATTAAAAAAAAAAAAGTAAAAAAAAGAAAGTCACACAAGTGTCGAGGACTTTCATTCACAGGAACACTATGAGTCGCCTATGGCTCAATGACACTTAACAACAACAATAATAATAATAAAATAGAATTTGCCAATACAGTAAACCCAATTAGAAAAAAACATTTAAGAACTTAAAAGGCAAAGGAGCTCTGATATGGCCTAGTGGCAAAAAGATGAGCTGCAATCCTGAAGGCACACAGTTCAAATCCATCAAATGCTATCCTAGAGAAGGAGGGACAATCTCCTCCTGTGCCATCTGGATCCAATGTGACGGTAAATACACACACACACACATACACACACACATACACACACACACACACACACACTCTCTCTCTCTTTCTCTCTCTCTCTCTCACACACACACACACACAAACTTAAAAGCCAAAAATATGAGATGTCAACCTGTGTAGAGGGACTGAAGCTTTCTAATTGAATGTATAACATGAAATTACGATTACTTTTAACACTGGAGGAATTTCAAAGTGCATACAACTAAAAGTAAAAGAAAACTACATTGTGGCAATCGGTGAGAAAAAGGATTACTAACAGTCACCCTTACTTCATGTAGGGGGACAAGTTATTAGACTAATGGCAACAGCACAACAGGAACAGAAATTATGACTCTTCAAGTACTGGGAAGAAGATAACCAATATCACTGAACAATTTTTAAGACATTATTGAATGGGAATGCAAAGGGTTGTTCAAAACCTCACTGAAAACACAATAATATATTTTTTTTAATAAATGAAACTCAAGAAAATGGACGGCATGGGAATGTTACCAATTCAATCTGGAAAACACACAGAGCACCCCTTTGGAGCATGGCCACCTGCTGAGGACGACAGGGTCTTGTGGCCGACGTGTTCTTTTTACCGCTTTCCTGACGACAGAACCCGGGTTTCTCCAGGGAGATGTGCCCTGCCCTCAAGCACTCCTTCTCCATCTAAATGCTTCAAGGGGCGCTGATTCCGTGCACGGCTCCAGGAGTGTGACTGGGGCTGGTCAACCAGAGCCTCACATCTACCAGCCTAAAGTGATTGATTCAGGGATGCAAAAGTCTGCACCTCAAGTCCTTGTTTAGGCTGTGAAAACAGCTGTCTAGAACTAAGAGTCAACAAATGAGGACTTACTTACAAGTAAAGCCAACACAGGAAGGGACAAGCTAAAATATGGCAAATAAAATATGGCAAGAGAGAGAAAGAGAAAGATGGGGTCCAAATGATATAGTTTGCACTCCTGGATCAAGCCAGACCTGAAGGAAGTCACTCTTGCATTTCTTAATTCTATTGACTCAGTTCCATAAACCCATATATTCTTAATTTGATTGAGTTTCTGACACTTGCGACCAAATATTTCTAAACTGAAACAAGTCTCAAATGTAAACAAGATGTGGTTCATCTCCCAGCACTATCAACCAAAACTTTAATACACAAACAAGTTTTTACCATTATATAACTAAAGACTGACTATGAATTACAAACCATCAAAATATAAACTTACAGCACTAGGGGAAACAGAAGAGGTACCAAAAATTCACCAAAAAAAGCTATTCTCTTTTTTTTTTTAGGAGACTCAGGTGTGTCTGATATAGGCCATGGTCTTTGCTATCACTTGTTAGGCATCAGAGAGTTGGACAATGACTAAGGAGGATAGATGGAAAATTGATGCCTTTGAGCTGTGGTGCTGGAGAAGAGTATTGAGGGTACCATGGACTGCTAGGAAAACAAACAGATTCATCCTGGAGAGGGTTAAGCCAGGCGGCTCCTTAGAGGCAAGGATTCTGAGGCTCCGTCTAACATACTTTGTAAGGAAGGAGCGGTCCTTGGAGAGGGACAACATGCTTGGGAGGGTGGAGGGACAGCACAGGAGGGGAAGGCCCCCTATGAGGTGGACTGATTCAGTGACTGGGGTAATTGGGATGGGAGTGTCAGAGGCAGTGTGACTGGCACAGGACAGAGCAGGGTTTAGGGCTGTTGTATATAGTGTTGCTATGAGTTGCAAGCAACTTGACGGCACATAGCAACAACATATGATAACCTATTCTATTTAGACATGTTGTTGTTTTCCATAGAGTTGGAAGTGACCCATAGCTGACCCTCCCTCCGGCAGGTTTTCAGGGCAGTTAATCTCTTCCTTCTACAGAGCAGCTGGTGGCCTCGAACCACGTGCCTTCAGGACTGCAGTGCAGCCTCTGCCACTAGGACACTAGAGTGTGTGTGTGTGTGTGTGTGTGTGTGTGTGTGTGTGTGTGTGTGTGTTTATCTGTATATATGTATATACAGATATGTGTGTGTAGGTGTAAATATGTATATATGTAAGTGTGTGTGTGTGTGTGAGTATATATATATGTCTGTGGATAGATAGATAGACAGACAGACAGATATAGTACTCTTAAATCTCTGCTTAAAACAATTCTTCTGTATCAATCTGTACAACCACTTGCTTCCACCCTCAGTGTAGACACTCAGGCATTGCTTATGAGCCCCTTCTGCTGCTCTTATTCTTAGTTATTCCCCTTCCCTGAACAAACGGGATACTTGAGTTGAATGTACAAGTCTGAGTAATAGAGGCATGGACAGTATTAAAGGCTTCCCATATGTCCACATGCAGAAGAGATGATAACTCCAAGAGAAATTTCATTGTGGATAATGTTGGAGCCCCACTTTAAACTCTCTGGACTCTTTCCAAAGCTTTACCATTTATATAGTTTTGTCCTACTTATTTCTATCTCTATTCATGTAATCTCACTTTAACCATGGATTTCCATAAAAAGAAATAAATCTGTCTTGGCAGAAGTATGGCCAGAATGCTTCTTGGAGGCAAGAATGGTGAGATTTCATCTCACTGTCTTTGGTCTTGTTACCAGGAAGGACTAGTCCTTGGAGAAAGACATGATTCTTTATAAAGCAAGGGTCAGAGAAGAACAGGAAGCCCTTCAATGAGATGGACTGCTGCATGACAGCAGCAATATGGTGCAGGACTGGGCAGGGGTTCGTTCACTGTCACACACAGAGCTGTTACGAGTCGAAACCATGTTAACAGCACGTAGCAATAAAAGAGGTTGCATTTTAACCTCACACTATGGAGAAACTGCCAACAGAATAGGGAAGATGGTCAAGATCACAGCGTAAGGAGAGACAAGATCATCTCTTGGCTAGGCTCCTGACTATTACACCTGTCTACAGGGAGTACTGGTGGGGTGGTTAACTAAGCTGCACTGCTAATACAATTCTGCTCCTCTGCCAGTCTGAATCCACCACTTGCTCCATGGAATAAAGACGGGCAATCTCCTCTCGGGCCATTTATGGCCTAGGAAATCTGCTGGAAGGTCAGGTATGAATCAGTTCCAACTTAACAACAAAGAAAATTGTTTGAGGTTATGCCTGCCTAAAACGGCAACTGATTAAGATATTTCACTCAGTATAATGTCTTCAAGATTCACCCATGTTGTTTTAAAGTCCATTATTTTTTCAGTATCACATAATATTCCATTGTGTGGCTGTACTATAGTTTTTCTATCCATTTGTTTTATTGAAGGGCATCTGGGCTGTTTCCATCTCTTCACTATTGTGAATAACGCTGCAGTAAACACGGGTATGCATATATCTGTTCATGTCACAGGTCTAGTTTCTTTAGGGTATATTCACAGTAGTGGGATAGTTGGGTCAAACGGCTATCTCTATTTCCAACTAGAGCTATCTGAAAAGGATGGATGATTAGACATTATATGTATGACAATAAACAATCTGAAACAAGACAGGTATTACAATGTGAACTGGGGGAAAGGGAGGAAGGAAAATGTGTATCAATGAATGAAAGAAAACCCATCCTTTCTGTAAACTTTCACTAAAATCACATTTTAAAAAAATGTATAAAATAGAAGTAAAATTACAATTGACAAGATTCTAAAAGCTCTGATGGCAATTAGTAAGGAGATGTGCTGTCAACTCGAAGGCAAGCAGTTTGAGTCCACCAGTTGCTCTGAGGAAAAAAGGTGACCAATCTCCTGTGGGATTTACAGCCTGTGCAAATCCTCTGGAGGGTGGGCTGGGAGTCGGCACACAAGAAGGAGCCTAGCTAGTCCAGGCGAGAGATAGAGAACAGAGGACTCTAGGGTCAAGCTGTAGGGGAAAAAGAAAGACCCAAAAGAGCATCTTATTCTCATGACAGAACATTCCAGGAAAAATATTAAAGACTAAAGATGACCATAATCTCAGAGGCCACTGAGATCAAGTGACATAACATAGTCCACAAAAGCAAGGTTCTTACATCCTGCTCTGCTGAGTAATGACTGGGGTCTTAAAAAGTTTTGCATCTGTCTATGGGACAACCACTGGTTTCTCCTCTCCAGAATGAAGGGGGGGGGGGGAGCAAAGACGCATAGAAACAATTAGTCCAAAGGATTAATGGGAAGTGTAATCTTCAACTTCCAACACCCTGTGACCAGAAGAACTGGCTGGTGCCTGGCTATCACCACTCATATTTCTAAAAGGGATCATAACTGAAGGCCCTGGATAGAGTAAGTGAAAAATGTAAAATAAAATTCTAGAACAAAAATGGCCAGGTTTACTGGTACATCAAGTGAACATGTCATAATGTCTCAATCCACTCGTTTATTGATGGACATTTGGGCTGTTTCCATGTTCTTGTTATTGTGAACACTGCTGCTACCAACATCAGTGCTCAAGTCTCCATTTATGTCTCAGTTCTGTTTTCCTTGGAGTATATTCCTAGTACTGGAATAGCCAGGTCATATGGCATTTCTATATTCAGCTTTTTGAGGAAACACCGAACTGCCTTCCAGAGTGGTTGCATCATTTTACAATTCCACCAACATAAGAGTTCCAATCTCTCCACATCCTCTCCCATATTTACTCGACTGGAGGATTCAAACCTTTCCAAGGCACTCTAACCACTCGGCCAGCAAGGCTCCTTTGCTAAAGTAGTTGGGACTAAAATACAACGAGGTCTGCAATTTTCCTAGAAATGTATTAGAAATTAAGATAAGGAAAATCCTTTGGCAGCTCTCCAAAAAAAAAAAATATGACCCAGCAATCCCAATCCCAGGAGTAAGCCCAGAAGAAGTGAAGGCAAACACACAAAGGACAACCTGTTCACCAGTGGTCACTGCACCACATTTTACGACAGCTAAAGGAGGAAACTGTGTAAATGCTCACTGACAAATAAAGAAACAAAATATGTATACACAATCTGTACACCAATGTTCAGAGCAGTGCTATTCACCATCACAAGAACATGAAACAGCCCAAATGTCCAACCACAATAGGATGGATGGAGAAATGATGGTACATTCACACAATGGAACACCATGCAGCACACAAGAGCAATGATTTTGTAAATTACTACCTACCTTGCGAGGGACTGGAGAGCATCATGCTAAGTGAACTAACTCAGTTCCATAAGGACAAATACTGTATAAGAACATTATGGTAGAACATGTATGAGGACCCAGGGGGGAGGAGTAGAGGGCTAAGGATGGGAGGGGGAGAATATTAATCATTGGGTCGCACAATTTGATAAGTGGAGGGAGGAGAGGGTGAAGGAAATGGGAAAGATCTGGTATGAAAACCAACGCATACAACCTTTGTAAATAAACCAGTATAACATTTTTAAAAAATAAAACCAATGTATACACAGATATCTCATTGCTGTCAAGTCAGAACTGACAGCTGATCCTCCAATGGGTTTTCAGAGGCTAAAAATTGCATGAGATGAGACTGTCCCGTTTTCCTGGTGTATCTTTGGGTTGGTGGCATCACTTCCTACCCAGCAGGCCATCAGAGCTCCTTTGTATATACAGATTGTTGTTGTTGCTGTTGTTGTGTATTGTAGAGTCGGAATTGACCTATAGCCAACCCTCTGGTGGGTTTTTAGAGGCAGTTAATCACACAAGAGGAGAATGCCAATTCTTCTCTCACAGAGCAGCTGGTGGCCTCGAACCTCGTACCTTCGGGATTGCAGAGCAACTACTTGCTACTAGGCCACAAGAGCTCCCTTGTCTACAGACAGTGGAACATTATTCAGCCATAAAGAAAGATAAAGTTCAGGTACATGCTATAACACAGGATAAACCTTTAAAGCATCATTTGGAAAGAAATAAGGCAGCTGCAAAAGGACAAATACAATATGATCTTATTCATATGAAAGAAAGAAATACATAGAGGGGGAAGGTTACTCATGGTGACCAGGAATGTGAGAGGGGGAAGTCGGGTTTTTGCACTTAGTGTCTAGGTGGCACTAAGTGTATGTTAACAATAGTAGAATAATGCAGAAAAATGTAATCAACATCACTGCATGTTACATGAAGGAACTGTCCAACTAGCAAATGTTTTGTTATGTCTATTTCAACAACACTCTTGGTACCAGCAGCCAGGAAATTAAAAGATAAATTGAACTGCTGTCAGGGACCGTTCCAAAATACTGAAGAGCAACGACGTCTGGAAACTAAGGTGTGCCTGATACAGGCCATCATCTTTGCCATTACTTGTTATGCATCAGACAGCTGGACAACGGCTAGGGATAATAAAAGGAGAGTTGATGTCTTTGAGCTGTGGTATTGGAGAAACTGAATATACCATGGACTGCTAAGAGAACAAATAGGTTCATCCCAGAGAGGGTGAGACCAGGCTGCACCTTGGAGGCAAGGATTCTGAAGCTCCGTCTGACATACTTTGGACATGTTGTAAGGAGGGACCAGTCCTTGGAGAGGGACATCACACTTGGGAGGGTGGAGGGACAGCGAAGGAGAAGAAAACCTTTGATGAGACGGACTGATTCAGCGACTGGGGTAATGGGGATAGGCGTGTCAGAGACAATAAATTGGCACAGGATAAAGCAGGGTTTAGGGTTATTATACGCAGGGTCACTATGAGACTCAGGCGACTCAATGGCACGTAACAACAACAATAATTTCATCACAGTCAAATTAGTTCATTCATTTAGGCAGATTGACAAGTGGATAAAGGGATGGTAAGTAAAAGGTCACATAGAGAAGAAATGTGACAAATGATAATACAGTAGAGTCTAGAGGTGTGCTTACTACCGAATTCTTTGAGCTCTTCTGTATGTACAAAAATGTTTAACATTAAATCGGGGGGAAATCTAACCAATCAGCAGTTAGAGACTTTCCACCAATCTCAATCTTTTCATTAATCATAAGACATTGTAAAGCCTGGGATGCTGGCAAGCCCACAGCTGTAAGGAGACATATGGAGAGGAGAGAACAGGTGCGCTCACCTACAGACTGGCACGTGAGTGCCGCGATGATGTGGGGGCTGGCCAGAGCCTCCAGCCTGTTCTTCAATGCTTCCAAGTGCACGCACTTTTCCGAGTAGTCCGGTGTATCCACAAGCATCATCAAACTGTTCTGCATCCCTGAGAGCTTGTTAGAAATCAGGATGATGTCCTAGAAAAAGGCAACAATAGAGAGTACTTATCAAAAATGTCTTCCTACTTTAATTAAGCATGAACAAAATACATGAGCAGGCAACTCATAAAATAAAATTTAAAAAATGACCCACAATCATAATAGGCTCAATGATTGCTGCTGTTTCACCTGTTGGGCTGGAAGTGACTCATAACTGATACGCTGGAAGGTATTCAGAAACAGCAAATTACACAGGAAGACACTGTCCACTTTTCTCCCACAGAGAAACGAATGGATTTGAACAATCTGCCTTTGGGTTGGCAGCACAACTCCTTACCTCTAAGCCACCAGAGCTCTCAAGTTTAGAGTTAAATTAGATGTTATTGTTGTGTGTTATGAGAACCAATTCATGAATGACTCTCCAGAGGGTTTTCAGAGACAATAAATCACATGACAGGAGACTGCCCATCCTTCTCCCGCAGAGCAGCTGGTGGATTCAAACTGCCTACCCTTAGGATTGCAGCACAGCTTCTTACCGTTAGACAACCAGAGCTCTCTTAAAAAAGTTACTAGAAAGGGAGCTTTGGTGGACTAGTGTCAAGAAGCTGTGCTGCAATCCTGAAGGTGCGTGGTTTGAATCCACCAGATACTCTGCTGGAGAAGGAGGAGCAATCTCCTCCTATGCCAGTTGGATCTGATTCAATGGTACACAACAAGAAAAAGATTAAAAAAGTTACTAGGACATAATAAAAGGAATCCTTCTCGTTTTCTTCTTTGCATTTTTCTGTAGTTTCCAAACCATTAAGGGATACATAATTCACTTTGTGATTAGAAAAATATCATTTCATAAAAAGTAATTAAGAGGCACTGTATTTCATTTCAGCATTTGGCAGGGATCCATGATGGGTCAGACATTGCATTAGAAGTTGGAGATGCTAAGAGGAGCATGGTCAATTTTAATTTTTTTTTTCTTTAAAGATAACTTTGTGTGTGTGTGTGTGTGTGTGTGTGTGTACTGTCAAATCAGATCTGACTTCTACAGGAGGAGACTGTCCCTCCTTTTTCCAGCAGAGCATCTGGTGGATTTGAACCACCAATTTCAATTCTTGAGTTCATAATGTACGTACTGAAATGATAAAGGTTATGCCGTCATTTGAAAGCATGGTTCAGCTGTCACAAGACCACAGATGAGGGAAGCAGGAGCCAGCTGAGAAAGACATGAAAGGAGGCGGCACTTTCATTGGTGTACTTTACCACAAAAAATAGCGTAAGAGAATGAAGGCCTGAAAGGAGTGACATGTTAACTGTCTGGAGTACGTACAGGGTAAGTACCATGGAGGGAATGTGGTTGTTGTTATCACCTGTGACTCAAAGGAACCCTTTGTACAACAGCCCTAAACCCTGCTCTATCCCATGCCAACTTACTGTCTATCCCATTACTCCAGTCACTGAATCAATCCACCTCGAGCGTCTTCCTCTCTTGTGCTGTCCTTCCACCCTCCAAGCATACCATCCCTCTCCAACGGCTGATTCTGCCTCGTAATATGTCCAAAGTATGTCAGACGAGGCTTCAGACTCCTTGTCTACAAGGAGAAGCCTGGCTTCACCCTCTCCAGGACTAACTTGCTTGTTCTCCTAGCAGTCCATGGTATATTCAGTACTCTTCTCCTGCACCACAGCTCAAAGGCATCAACTCTGTTTCTATCATCCCTAGTAATTGTCCAGCTCTCTGATGCATAACAATTGCTAAGACTATGGCCTGTCAGGTATACCTTAGCCTCCACACTGACATAGTGGCTCTTCAGTACTTTGGAAAGGTCTCTGACAGCAGACTTTCCCAATGCAATGTGTCTTTTAATTCCCTGGCTGCTGGTACCAAGAGTGTTGACTGTAGAGCCAAGCAAACTGAAGCTGTTAACAATATCAATCTCTTCACCATCTACTATGATGCTGTCAATCGGCCCAGTGGTGAGAATCTTTGTTTTCTTGATGTTGAGTTTCAATCCATATTGAAAGCTACAGTCCTTGACCTTCTGCAGAAAGTGCTTCAGGTCCTCCTCAGTTTCAGCAAGCAGGGTTATGTCATCTGTGTAATGCAGATTATTGATGAGTCGGCCTCCAATCCTGATGCCACACTTCTCCTCATAGAGTGTAGCCTCCCAGTTTATTTGTTCCGCATATAAATTGAAGAGAAATGGAGACAGGACATATCCTTGGCGAACACCTTTTCCAATTTTGAACCATGCAGTGTTTCCTTGCTCTATTCTGATGACTACCTCCTGGTCCAAGCATAGGTTTTGCATAAGCACAATCAAGTGTTCTGGGATTCCCATTCTTCTCAGAGTCAACCACAGTTTGTTGTGCTCTACATAGTCAAATACCTTTGTAAAGTCAATGAAACACAGATAGACATTCCTCTAGTACTCTCTGCTTTCAGCCAAGTTCCATCTGACATTAGCTATAATATCCCTAGTACCACAGCCTCTTTTAAACCCAGCCTGCTTTTCAGGCAGGTATCTGTTGTTGTGCTGTTCCAGTCGTTTTTGCATAATCTTCAGTAGAATCCTGCTTGCATGTGCTATCAGTGATACTGTTCGATAATTTCCGAACTGTTGGATCATCTTTTTTTGGAATGGGAACAAATACAGATCTCTTCCACTCAGTTGGCCAAGTGGTTTTCTTCCAGATTTCTTGGAACAACTTGGTGAGCACATTCCGGGCAGTGTCTGTTTGTTGAAATTCATCAATGAGTATGCCATCAATTCCTTGGACCTTGTTTTTTGCCAATTCTTTCAGAGCAACTTGAACTTCTTCCTTCAACACCACAATAGCCAAAGAAAAGTTCTGCAATACTATTGTGAAAGGTCATCCTTGTTAAGGAACTTAGAATTTATCCTAAAGAAAATGGAGACTCGAGAAAGTTAAGATAAAGGAGTTGGCACGAAAAGACGTTAAGACAATTCATGCTCCAATTACCAAGGAACCATGACCATAAAAAATAGCTGTGCGCAAAAAAATAATGTAAACTTTAGTCTTACTTTTGTTGTTTTTCTGGCTGTTAATGATTAAGCCCCTAATTGTAAAAATGGGATATAAATGTATCATGCTAAATGCAATAAGCAAGGAAGAAGAAAGAAGGAAAATTAGAATAACTTAGAATTAAAATCATCAAGATAAAAAAAAAAGACAATTCATGCTTTAGAGCCCACCAGGCTTTCAGTTTGCCATCCCCATGGTGGCTTCCATGTGGCTGTGACGACGAAAGCTATGCCACCAGCATTTCAAATACCAGCAGGCTCACCCACAGTGGACAGCTTTCAGCAGAGATTCAAGACTATGCTAGATTAGGAAACAGACCTGGCCACCCACTTTGGAAATATTGGGCCCTTGAAAATCCTATGCAGACTACTGGAACACGATTTGCTGCCAGATGAGGTGCTCAGGCTGGAAGGCACTCAAAACACAACTGGGGAAGAGCTGCCTCTAAAAAACAGAGCTGGCGAGCTCTGGTGGCCCAGTGGCAAAAAGCTGCACTGCAATCCCAGAGGTGAGCTGTTCGAATCCACCAGATTCTCTGCTGGAGAAGGAGGGACAATCTCCTCCTGTACCAGTCAGATCTGATTTGATGGTATACACAAAATAATAATTAAAAAATTTAAATTTAAAAGAAAAACAGAGCTTAACCTTCATGATGTGGATAGAGGTAAGCTTTCACCCAGTGAAGGACCACCATTTGCCGAGGTGACATAACTTAATATGGGGGAAACACTTGCAAATTTATCTACTAAATGGAATGTGCAATGTATGAATTTTTAACTTAGAAATGTTGGAAGTCGTAAAAAATTATGTGGAGTGAACACAGATTGACATTGTAAACACTAATAAGCTGAAACAGACTGGTATTGGCCATCCTGAATCAGACATTTATAAGGTATGTTGTTGTTGTTGTTAGATGCCATCAAGTCGAGAAGGACTCACTCTGAACCATGTCCTATCCTATCCTATCCTATCTCATCGTCACAATTTCTGACACACTCAATCAAACCCACTGCTGCAGTCACTATGTCAATCCATCCGGTTGAAGGTCTTCCTCTTTTTCACTCTCTCCCCACCTTTCTAAGAACGGTGTCCCTTCCCCAGAAATGGCCTTTCCTAGCAACATGTCCAAAATATGAGACAAAGCTTTAGTGCCTTTGCCTTCAAAGAGCACTCTGGTTGCACACTGTCCAAAACATATCGATTTGTTCTTTTGGGAGTCCATGGCATACTCAATACTCTTCTCCAACACTTCTTTTTTTTAAAAAAAAAAATTTATTTTATTCTTTTTTGTGCTTGTACCATCAAACTGGATCTGATTGGTACATGAGGAGATTGTTCCTCCTTCTGCAGCAGAGCATCTGGTGGATTCGAACCACACACCTCTGGGATTGTAGTATAACTTTTTGCCACTAGGCCATCAGAGCTCCCTACACCACTTCTCAAAGGCATCAATTCTTCTGTCATCCTTATTCACTGTCCAGTTCTCAGATGCAAAGAAAGTTACTGAAAAAAACCCACAGCTTGAAATGAGTATACCTTAGTTCTCAAACTTACATTATTGCTCCTCAATAATTTGGAGAGGTCCCTGACTGCAGCCCTGTCCTGATTCCTTACTGATTACGTCTCCTGATTTCCTGACTGCTGGTATCAATGGTACTGATGGTGGATCCAAACAAGATAAAGTCATTGACAGTTTCAGTCTTTTCTCCATCCATCACGCTGTTGTCTATTGGTCCAGTGGTGAGAAATGTTTTTGTGATGGCAACCCATACTGAAGGCTTATTCTTTGATTTTCTGCAGCAGGTACTTCAAGTCCTCCTCGCTTTCAGCAGCAAGGTTGTGTCATCTGTACAATGCAGGCTGTTGATGAGTCTTTCGCTGATCCTGATGCCACATTCTTCTTCACAGAGTCCAGGCTTTCCAATAATTTGCTCAACATATAGACTGAATAGGGATGGAGAAAGGATACAACACTGATGGTAGGTATGGTATATGGCATATGGTGTACCATGCTGGAAATGAGAAATGGAAGGAGGATGGCATCACTCATTGTCAAAAAGAATATTTCAAGATCTACCCTAAAATGCAATGTGAACTTAAATATACAAAGAACACTCGTAATTATGACTACTGATTAAATGTATGCACCAACCACTGAAGCTAAAGATGAAGAAAGTGAGGATCTTTACTAACTTCTATAGTCTGAAACTAATCAAGCATGTCATCAAGAAGTATTTCTCATACTGGTGACTAGAATGCAAAAGTAGGAAACATGGAAGAAGGATCAGTACTTGGAAAAAATGGCCTCAATGATATAGATGAAGCTAGAGCTCACAGAATACAATTTTCTATGACCAAGGACATTTCAAATACCTTTTTTTGAAAAAACCATAAATGGTGATTATACACATGGACCTTGTCTGATAGAACACAGAGGAATCAAATAGACTACATCTGAGAAAAGAAAGAGCGGAGAAGCTCAATATCATTAGTCAGAACAAGCCCAGGGTGGGTGAACTATGGAACAGACATCTAGTGTTCAAACGCAAACTGAAGCTGAAGACGATTCAGACAAGGTCACAAGATTCAAAATACAAGCTTGAGCATCTCCCACCTAAATGTAGAGGTCACCTCAAAAACAGATTTGATGCACAGAACACTAATGACCAATGACCACACAGGTCTCGGAGAACATGACAGGCTTCCTCCTAGAAAAAGCAAAAGGCCGTGAAAAAGACAGGAGAGAAAGAAAACATCAAAATTAACATCAAGAGAGACTCTAAAACTTGCTCTAGAAAACGTAGAGGAGGGGAAAAGTGAAAGTAAGAAATGATGAAGCAGGAGAGCCGAACAGAAGATTTCAAACGCAACTCAAGGAGACAAAGAATTATAATGAAATGTGCAGAGGCATGGAGTTAGAGCGCCAAGAAGGAAGAATATGCTGGCATTTCTCAAGCTGAAAGGACTGAAGGAAAAAATCACAGCTTGGAGTTGCAAAACCGGAAGGATTCTATGAGCAAAATATTGAATGTGGCAGGAAGCCTTGAAAGAAGATGAAAATAACATACAGTCCTAGGACCAAAAAGAATAGCCAATGCTCATCCATTTCAAGAGACGGCATGTGATTAAGACCCAGTGGTACTGAAGGAAGAAATCCAAGCTGTGCTTACAGCCCTGGCAAAAATAAGGTTCCAGGAATTGATGGGATATTAACTGAAGTGTTTCAAGAAACCGAGGTAGCTTGGAAATGTCCAATCATCTATGTCAAGTAATTTGGAAGACAGACTAGAAGAGAAAGATCCATATTTGCTCCTATACCAAAATAAGGAGATCCAACATAGTACAGAAATTATCAAACAATATCACTGATATCATATGCAAGGAAAATCTTGATAAAAGATCATTAGAAATCTGCTAGAGCAGGACACTGACAGGGAATGGCCAGGAACTGATCTTGGGATTCAGAATAGACCATGAACATAAGGTATCACTGCTAATGTCAGGTGGACCCCAGCTGCAAGCAAAGAATGCCAGGAAGATGTTTTATTGAAGATGCAAAAGCATGACTCTGTGGATTATTATAAAGTGTAATAACATTGCAGAGTATGGGAATTCCAGAACACTTAATTGCCCTCATGCAGATTGTATACACAGACAAGAAGCAGGTATTCAAACAGAACAAGGGAACACTGCCTGGTTTAAAATCAATGTTCAGGATCAGGTTTGTATCCTTTCACCTTATATATTTTATCTGTTGTCATCGTTATGTGTCATCAAGTTACCTGCAATTCATAACGACCCTATGGACAACAGCTCTGATGGCTGCTACTAAAGGTCTCTTTAAAGAGTTAAAGGGCGTGAAAGCCACTTGATATGATGCCTTTGAAATGAAGCTGTGGTGAAGAATAACGAGTATGTCATGTAAGGCCAAAAGAACAACAAGAAAAATCTGTCTTAGAAGAACTGTAGCCAAGGTGCAGTAGAAGGAAGGATAGTGAGGTATTTGTATCCCACGTTTTGGGCAAAGTGTCAGGGACTAGTTCCTAGAAAGGGCATTACGTTTGTAAAAGCAGATCAGTGAGAAAGAGAAAGGTCTTCAATTAAATGGACTGGCATGTTGTTGTTAGGGGACATCGTCAAAAATGACTCATAGCTGACCTGCCAGTAGGCTTTCTGAGGCTGTAAACTGCACAGGAAGAGAAAATCTATTTTTATCTCATGTAACTGCTGGTGAATTCATCTGCCTTTGGGTCACCAACACAACTAGGCCACCAGAGCACCCTTATATAAAAGGCATATAACATGGACATATTACTATAAAATAGCATTGCTATTTTCCACGTTTTATAGATCTAGAGGAGTTCATTTGCAAAGATGATATGGTGTATACGGTCTCTCTGCTCCTGTTTTCATTTGGTCCTTGTCTGCCTTTGCCTTTTTATCAAGATTCCTCCTGAACTCACTCACATTTAAGAAGTTTTGGTCATTCACTGTGTGAAAATGAATAAGTGGAATACTGAGTCAGGGCTGTCTTCAAAGGTTTCTGCATGCTACTACTTTTACCATGCCTCATGGTTTTGAGTGAGTGGATGACCATCTCACTGGCTTTCTCCAAATCCTGAGTTCCTGCTTAAATAGATGTCACACGCTTCGTCAGGAATCCTACCTGGGTCTTAAATGTCTCCTCAATGTCAGCACTGAGGGTGCTCCACTTGTCTGCTTCCTGAAGAGATTCTGCAGCAAGCTGCATTCGGGACTTCACCTGGTCGATTTCAACCAACACCTGAAAGAGGAATGAAGAGTAAAGAATAAAAGATGTCACAGAGCCTGTTGCTCAACCTTCCACCAGCAAGGTGAACAGCTCAGCATGCTCCTGTCTTCAGCAAGTCCCTTATAACATCGCTCAGATAGGTAAACCTGTCCCACACCAAACAAACACTCAAACTGAATATACTGGAAGAACTATCAGTGATCCTTTCTTTCATATAACAAAACTTGTATTTTTTCACAAAGTTGTGACTTTTAGGAATCTCTCCATGTCAAATTTTTCATCACTACTCCTACACGACAACAGCTTTGTCAGAAATATTACACATTTCCTTATCACAGCTTCCTTTCTATATTTCCAAGAACCATCAATTCTGTGAACAAGTTATATTGAAGACCAACTTTTTTCATGCACTTTCAGAGAACACAATGTCGTGTTAGTTTAAAAGCTGGCTTCTCTAGCCATTATGTTAGCCTCTGCTGGTCACCAGTTAAGGTAACCCACAGTCTTGCAAATCATCAACAGCTGTAGGACTAATATAAGAGAGTGCTTTCCACAATGCAAAGAGAAACAATGGTGATTGTGTTGGAGAGAGGAGAGACTGTGGCAGTGCTGTAAAGAGACTGTGGCAAAGTGTAACGAGAGATCCCTGAGAGAAAGGCTACACTTTAAGGTTTTGCTTGCTGGATGATTGAAAGAAAAACTGACTTGTAACTGCTGAGGCAAAACTTGCTGGATGATTAAGGAAACTAAAGGTTTCTTGGATTTGTGCTGCTGAACTGAAACCAGGATTTCCACTAATTGAGAAATTGTGTTTTGCTGTTACTCTGGCTTGGGACTGATGGGCTAAACCTGGACTTGCACTAAGTCATATTCTTTGCCTCCTCAACTCCCCAATCTATTTCCACAACTGTGAGTCAAGTGATTGGTAGAGAGAGGTTCAGGAGGATGTGGTGCAGGAGGATATGGTGTGCCATGTCTAACCAAACAGTTATCGATCTGCTGCTATGGATATTGTTTATGGGGACAGTTGAAGCGAGCAGAAGTCAGTCTCAGCCACTGCCACACCCCTGATGCAGCTGCTCCTTTAACATACAAGCTCATGGGCTCCACGCAAAAAAGAGAATTAATGATAGAGAAATTATTAAGCAAAAGTTGAGACTGTGTTTCACTACAAATATATTAAATTGACATCTTTTCTCAACAGCCTGGTATCAGATGTTCATTGTGGCCAAATCCAAGAGATGACTTTGATCAGGTGGCCAAACTTTTCTTTCGCTTACCTCGAAGTCACTCTGCCATGGCCAGGAGGAGAGCAGCAAAAATGGGTGAGGACAGACACATTTACTTTCACCGCGTGATGGCTCTTAACACTTCAACCACCCAAAACGACAAGCTTCTTACCAGTCATTTAAAAACCAAAACACAGCAAAGATCATCACCTCATAAATAATAGGGGACAACACACAAGCATGGAAACATAAAATAATTCAAGAAAGGGAGAAGGCTAAGAAATTGAATGAGACAAAACTGAAATACTTTTGCTGGCTAAAAGGAATGAAATGAGCTGTAAAACAAAAACATGTCAGAGGGCAAATATTTTTCCCCCCCAAAGATCTTTTTTAAAGAAAAGAAAATACACAGTAAAATAAATAAATAAATAAATAAATAAATAAATAAATCTCTCCTAACTTCGTCTTTTACCCAAAACATTTAAGAGATTTAAAAAAAAAAAATTAAAAATTGAGACAATTCAACATGAACAAATAAAATTTGTAAAAGTTCAATGACGGTTGGTGGCCTAGTGGTTAAGGAATTGTGCTGCCAACCCAAAGGGAGGTGGTTCAAATCCACTAGCCATTCTGAGGGACAAAGATGGGCAACCTCTTGCTCTTTGATGTATACTGGTGTGAAAAACAATGTATATGAACTTTGTAAATAAACCAGTATAAATTTAAAAAAAAATAAATAAAAATAAAAACCTTGAGATTAACAAAGGACTGGGAAAAACCTACGCAGTATCAAATTGTTGTTGCAGTGAGTGGTGTACTGCAGAGTTGGAACCGATCCATAGCTGACCTTCCAATGGGTCTTCTGAGGCAGTTCACCACACAGGAGATTGCCCATCCTTCTCCAGCAATATCAAATTAATGAACACAAAAAATAATACAATTTTAATAGAGAAATTGGGAGGTTTTCCTTTTTCAAAGAAATTTAAGAAAAATAAAATTTACAAAGTAAAAATTAAAAGTATAGTTTAAAAAAGATATAGTTTAAATATCACAAATCAAGCAGCTGAATGTATTGAAACAACACAAAAATCATACCAAAAAAAAATACAGAGATGTTGGGAAAGGGAGATGAATAAGTTGAAAGAATCAACAAATGAATGTACAGAAAAACTATGGTATATTCACACAATGAAATACTACACAGTACTGAAAAATAATGAATGCATAAAATATTACACAACATGGGCGACCCTGGAGAACACTATGCTATGTGAAATATCTCAGTCACAAAAGGACAAATACAGCATAACACCACGTTATAAAACAGGACTGACATGGGGGTTGGGGGAAAATTAGAAAACAGGGGATAAATAATTAACACTTTATTGGAACAGATGATGGAAAGAACTGTTTAAATGGAATATATGATTAGCCATTATTTGTATGACAACAGTCCAGAAAATGAGTTGCATAGCAAAGTGGACCAGGAGGAGAGAGAGAAGAAATTATGCAACAATGAATGAATGATCTTTTTTTTTAAAAAAGTGATCTGGGGGGTTGGGAGGAAAATGTGCAATAATGAATGAATGAAAATCTAACTTCTGTAAACTTAAGGTAAAATCACAATTTAAAAAAATAAGCTGAAAGAAACAAACAAAAAAAAACCAAAACAGTTTGAGCATTTGAGAGCTAAGATTCCTATCCCAAACTTGTATTTTTCTAAACCATTCAAATGCAGTTCCTCAAAGCAAAAAGCATTATTTAGGACAGAAGCTAAAATACCTGCATTGATTGAGCCGTATCCTGTTCAAATTTTTTAATGTCTTCCTTGACGAGAATCATTTGTTCTTTCAGGAAAGATGCCTCCTGCTTAAGGGCTTCAACATCACGGAGAACTTTAGGCATGTTCTGAAGGGCCTGGTGACTGGTTTCTGCAGCAAGAACCCAAAAACAGTAAAAGGTGAAAAGCGGACCCATCACCAGTGAACAAGGGGAGGGAAATGAGAATGCAACAAGGAAATCTTCCTTGATGTATTACCAACCACGATGCTTTCAGTCTGAAGAAAATGGAAGGTTGGAGGGGAAGCCAAAAGTAAAGAGTCTCTGCTGGTCCAAATCTTCCCTAGATCCATAAAGGCCAGGTGATGGAGAATGAACCATCAACCTGCTCCTCATTAACGGGTAGTCAAGAAATCAAAGGACAAATTGAACTGGGAAAATCTGCTGGTAGGGACCTCTTCAGAGTGAAAAGCAAAATGTCAGTCTAGAGACAAAGGTGCACCTGATCCAAGCCGTGGTCTTTGCAATTACTTGCTATGCATCAGAGAGCTGGAGAAAGACTAACGATGACAGAAAAGAATTGATGAGTTTGAACTGTGATGGTGGAGAAGAGCACTGAAGATACCATGAATTGCCAGGAGAGCAAAAAGATACATCTTGGAAAGGGTGAAACCAGTTTGTTCCTTGAAGGCAAGGATTTTTATGCTCGTCTGACAACCCTGCTTGCTGAAACTGAGGAGGACCTGTAGCACTTGCTGCAGAGGATCAAGGACTGCAGCCTTCAATATGGATTCAATGTCAAGAAGACAAAGATTCTCACCACTGGACCAATTGGCAGCATCAGGATGGATGATGAGGAGATTGAGATTGTTCACAGCTTTAGTTTGCTTGGCTCCACAGTCAACACTCTTGGCAACAGCAGCCAGGAAATTAAAAGATGTATGGCCAGGGGAAAGTCTGCTGTTAGGGACCTCTCCAAAGTACTGAAGAGCAATGGTGTCTCTCTGGAGACTAAGGTGTGTCTGATACAGGCCATGGTCTTTGCTATCACTTGTTATGCATCAGAGAGTTGGACAATGACCAAGGAGGATAGAAGAACTGATGCTTTTGAGCTGTGGTGCTGGAGAAGAGTACTGAGAATACCATGGACTGCTAGGAAAACAAACAGATTCATCCTGGAGAGGGTTAAACCGGGCTGCTCCTTAGAGGCAAGGATTCTGAGGGTCCGTCTAACATATTTTGGACCGGTCCTTGGAGAGGGACATCATGCTTGGTAGGGTGGAGGGACAACGCAGGAGGGGAAGACCCTCTATGAGGTGGACTGTTTGAGTGACTGGGATAATCAGGATGGGTGTATCAGAGACAGTGCCATTGGCACAGGACAAAGCAGAGTTTAGGGCGGTTGTACACAGGGTCACTATGAGTCACAAGCGACGCGACGGCACATAACAACAACAACAATTGACATACTTTAGGCATGTTGCCAGGAGGGACCAGTCCTTGAAGAAGGATATTATATATGGAAGAGTGGAGAGAGAGTGCAGCAGAAGATAATCCCAAATGAAATGGCTTGACACAGAACTGGGGTAATGGGGGTAGGTGTGTCGGAGGCAGTGAGGCTGGTTCAGAACAGAGTTGGGTTCAGAGATATTTTTCACAGGGTCACTATAAGTCATGGTCGACTTGATGGCACATAACAACAACAACATGTTAAATCTTAACCCACTGGAAGGAATGAGAACGAGGTCGTCAGTGAAAGCCCTTCTCCCAAGCACTTTACACACACCTTATTGCTTAACATCCACAGCAATCCTAGGAGGTGGAAGACATCTCTCACAGGTAAGAAAACTGAAAGGTTAAAGTACTTGTCCAGGATTTTACAGAGCTAAAGTCTTACTTGTACCTGGCCACAAAGACTCCTGCACACTGTACTTGCCAAATGTAGCGAACAGACTATTAGTTCCAACTGTAGCATCAAGTGGAATGTAGTTAAAATGCAGGGACCTGGCTCATGATAATTTTTTAAGTAAGGAGTTGTGCTGCCAACCCAAAGGCAGATAGTTCAAATCCACCAGGTATTCCATGGGAAAAGACAGATAATCTCCTTCCGCATGATTTACAGCCTCTGAAAACCCACTGGAGGGTCGGCTAGGTGTCGGTTGCAATACAATGACAATAATTTTTTTTATTATTATTAAATTTTATTTGTTTCAATGAACATTCACAGGGATTCTGGGCTTTCACTCCTTCATTGCCACACCATTCTCTCCACCCTCCTCCCCAGTTTGTTGTTCTTCTCCGCCATCCGAATGTCTGTTTTAATTGTCCAATTGCCACAGTGCTTGTCAAAGTCAGTTCTGATTAATCTCCTTTGTCAGTGTGTCCTTTGCCATTCCCTATCACTCCTCCCTGAGAGAGACTTCACCCTGATTCATAAGGAAAAGGGGATGGCGTATTCTCTTAGCTACTTCCTGCTGAAAAGGGACGCTGTGGGTTTCAGGAATGACAATAAATTGAGCTGAAGCCAAGATTAAGTATTTGGTTGCTAAAATAACTTTTGTGGAGAAAGATGAGGCAATCTTCTTCCATAAAGGTAACAACATTGAGCCGTCCAACAAGATTGCTAGAAGCTGGAACCAAGTTGAAGGTAATGAGTTTGGATTCGGCATGAAATCAAAGAATCTGTATTTTTTTAAACATATGTCATGGATTGAAATGTCTCCCCTAAAACATGTGTATGTAATAATTTAATGTGGAAATTATTAAATGATCCCACTCAATCTAATAAACAAACCAGTCAATTATAAACACATTAAGCATGGGATGAAATACCCTCAATCTCATAAGAGCCATGATCCAATTCAAGAGATCCAATTCCTCCATTTCCAGATATGGCCCAGAAGGAGAGGAAAGGAAGTGGAGAGCCTCAATATCACCAAAAAGAAGAACCGAGAGATCAGGGCACACCCTTTGGACACAGGTTCCCACAATGGGAAACCCTAGAACCAGGAGACAAAGAGACAAAATCATCCCCTAGAGTTGGTACCCCAAATTTGGACTTCCAGCCTGCTGAACTCTGGTAGCCTCATGAGTAAGGAGTTGTACTGTAAACCCAAAATACAAGCAGTTCAAATCTACCAGCTGCCCCACAGGCTGGGCATTCTCCTCTCATGTAATGCGTTGTTAGGTGCTGACAAGTGCAGCACGACTCAGAGAGATCCTGTGAACAACAGATCCGGATGTTGTCCTATCCTGTACCGACCTCATTATCTCTGACGTATTTTATATCACTGCAGCAGTGATTGTGTCAATCCACCTGGTTGAAGGTCTTGCTCTCTTTCACCAACCCTCTACCTTGATGTCCCTCTCCGGGGAACAGGCCCTCCTAGCAACATGCTCAAAGTATGTGAGATGAAGCTTTGCCATCTTTGTCTCTAATGAGCACTTCGCAGTGCTTTCTCCAAGACATATCTGTTTGTTCTTTTGGCCGCCCATGGGATTTTCAGTGCTCTTCTCCAACACTACAGCTCAACAGCATCAATTCTTCTTGTCATCATTATTCAATGTCTAGCTTTCACATGCATAGCAAGTGAATGAAAAGACCATGGTCTGGACTAAGTACACCTTAGTCTTGAAACTGGTATCATTTCTCCTCAGTAACTGGGGCAGGATCCTGACTACAGTTTCCCCAGTGCAAGAGATTTCCTGATCTCCTGAATACTGGTGCCAAAAGAGTGGATTATGGATCCAAATAAGACAGTATCATTGACAATTTCAGTCCTTTCTCCATCAATCATGACATTGTCTATCGGGTCCTACTGGTGAAAACTTTTGTTGAGATATAATGCATATAATATAATATAATATAATATAATATAATATAATAATCCATTTTTAAAGTTGTAGTCTTGGATCTTTTGCAGCAAGCACTTCAAGTCCTCTTCATTTTCAGCAAGCAAGGTTGTGTCACCTGCATAACTTAGATGGCTGATGAAACTTCCTCTGATCCTGATGCAACATTCTTCTTCATAGAGTCCAGCTTCTTGAGTTCAGCATACAGACTAAATAGGTATGGAGAAAGAATACAAACCCTGACATGTTGTTGTTGTTATGTGCCGCCGAGTCGTTTGCGACTCATAGGGACCCTACGCACAACAGCCCTAAACCCTGCTCTATCCTGTGCCAATCGCACTGCCTCTGACACACCCATCCCGATTACCCCAGTCACTGAATCAATCCATCTCATAGAGGGTCTTCCCCTCTTGCGCCGTCCCTCCACCCTCCCAAGCATGACGTCCCTCTCCAAAGACCTGTCCCTCCTTGCAACATGCCCAAAGTATGTGAGACGAAGCCCCAGAATCCTTGGCTCCAAGAAGTAGCTTGGTTTAACCCTCTCCAAGATTAATCTGTTTTCTTGGCAGTCCATGGTACATTCAATACTCTTCTCCAGCACCACAGCTCAAAGGCATCAATTCTCCTTCTGTCTTCCCTAGTCATTGTCCAACTCTCTGATGCATAACAAGTGATTGCAAAGACCATCACCCGTATCAGGTGCACCTTAGTCTCCAGAGAGACACCGTTGCTCTTCAGTACTTTAGAGAGGTCATTAACAGCAGACTTTCCCATCACAATACATTTTTTGATTTCCTGACTGCTGATGCCAAGAGTGTTGACCGTGGAGCCGAGCAAACGGAAGCTGTGAACAATCTCAATCTCTTCGCCATCCATCCTGATGCTACCAATTGGTCCAGTGGTGAGAATCTTTGTCTTCTTGACATTGAGCCTCAGTCCATATTGAAGGCTGCAGTCCTTGACCCTCTGCAGCAAGTGCATGAGGTCCTCCTCGGTTTCAGCAAGCAGGGCTGTGTCATCTGCATAACGCAGATTGTTAATAGATCTTCCATCAATCCTGATGCCACAATTCTCCTCATAGAGCCCAGCCTCCCGGATAATCTGCTCTGCATACAGGTTGAAAAGGTATGGAGACAGGACACATCCCTGGCGTACACCCTTCCCAACTTTGAACCATGCAGTGTTACCCTGCTCTGTTCTGATGATTATCCAAAAATGACTGGAGACGCACATCAGCAGAGAATTGCCAGAAGCCCAGGCTGGGTTTAGAAGGGGTCGTGGTACTGGGGATATTGTAGCTGATATTAGATGGATCTTAGCTGAAAGCAGGGAATAACAGAAGAATGTCTATCTATGTTTCCTTGATTATGCAAAGGCATTTGACAGTGTGGATCATAACAAACTGTGGCTGACTCTGAGAAGAATGGGAATCCCAGGACATTTAATCGTGCTTATGCGAAATCTATACTTGGACCCTGACATATACTTTTATTAATTTTAAACCACATAAGGTTCCCCTGCTCTGTTCAGTCAAAAGCTTCTTGATTTAGGTATAGATTTCACATGATCACAATTAAGTGTTCTGGGATTCCCATTCTTCTCAATGTTAGCAAAAATTTGTTATGATCCACCCAGTCAAATGCCTTTATATAGTCAATAAAACACAAACATACATTCTTCTGGGATTCTCTGCTTTCAGCCAGAATGCACCTGACATCAGCAATGATATCCCCAGTGCCACGGTGCCATGTGAAATATACAGCCTCTGAAAACCCTTTGGAAATTCAACTTTCAGGAGTGGGTTTGGACAAGACGATAATGAAAGATAAGTAGGGAAGGGTACAAGAATTCTGTACAACTGTAAAGCAATTGTTTGATAAAGCCATCTACTTGCAGTATTTTTCTTTCTTTTCTTGTGTACTGTCTAAATGGATCCAACCAGCACAGGAGGAGATTGCCTCTCCATCTCCAGTGGAGCATCTGGTGGATTCAAACTGTGTGCCTTCAGGACTACAGCACAGTTTCTTGCCACTAGGCCACCAGAGCTCCCTCACTTGCACTATTTCTGTTGCAGCAGAACCAGCTGATCAAAACATACAGGCATCCCAGGTGTAGGCTGTCACTTTTAAATCTTTGCCCATCATAATGTCTTTGGATTTGAGAGAGTAACATCATAATCTAATACTTCAGAGTAAGCAGTTCTGTTGGTACCCAACCAAACAGCACCCATCTTTTGCTCCACAAATGTAATGATTAGAACTCTGGCACTCTGAAGACATGCTTCCATGCTTCCAAGCACTTGTCCCCCTGGCTGTAAAACAATGACCTGTCTCCACTCCCAACCCCAGGTAAGTGACTAAGATGGGCTGAGAAGGGATGAGAGAACATACAGATGCTTTCAAGGACAGGGCTTGAATGAATTTCAGCAGCGCTGCAATGGGCCGTCCCAGCTGGGTCTCCCACCTGTGAAAAGTTCAGTCACTCTTCAATCCCAGCTAGTTATCCTCTACAGCCCACTCTGGACAGAATCTTAAAGCCATCACTTGGAGAGGTCCGCTGCCTTGCTCCAGGAAGATCTTTCAATGGCATGTCAGATAGTGCTTTCCATCACAGGATTTTTGCCAGACATAAGGAAGTGCTGAGTATCATTAGTTGTTGGGTACCACAGAGTAAGAACTGACCCAGTGCTGACCCTCCAGTTGGTTTTCAGATACAGTTAAATGCATGGGAGGAGACTGCCCCTCCTTCTCCTGTGGAGCGACTGGTGGCTTCCAACTGTGTGCCTTCGGGATTGCAGCCCAGCTTCTTGTCTCTAGGCCACCAGAGCTCCCTGGAGTCATAGAAAAATACTCTACAGAATATTATGTACAATATTATCTACATCCTTGACGTTCACTCTTTATATGGATGACAACAATCTGGAACAAGGAGTACATTGTAAGGAGGGCGACATTTCATTGTGTAACAATGAAAAAAAATTAAAATAATTTCGGTGTTAAAAAAAATAAATTCACTCTTTTAAGTTTCTAGAGAAACCTTTACTGCTAGAGGGGAAATCCAGCACGTGACTCTAGCTGCTGCAATGTTGTTGTTAGATGGGATGGAGTCAAGTGCATCCCAGGGCGACCCCATGAACAACAGACCTGTGCCATCCTCACAATCTCTGACACACTCGAGCCCATTGCTACAGTCACTATGTCAATCCACCTGGTGGAGGTTCTTTCTCTCTTTCCTTGACCCTCCACCTTACTAAGCATAATGTCCCTCTTTTCCAACGACTGGACTCCTAACAGCATGCCCAAAGTATCAGAGACGAAGCTTCGCCTGCCTTGCCCGCAAGGAGCACTCTGGCTACACTTTTTCCAAGAAGACACTGTTCCTAAAACTGGCTCTTTGCGCGTAAGTTTCTAGAGGAAAACTTACATCACTGCTGGAGGTGTAACGTCAAACTTACCAAGTGACTCTCGCTGCTGCAAGGAATCGACTCTCTTCCCTCCAAAGGAAGCCCTGGGGACCCCGCACACCCGAGACAAGGGGGCCCCGCGGGTTTGGGGACCTCGGGACGAGGCCCGCGCGCGACTCACCCTCCAGGGCGTGATTCACTTCTTGGATGAACAGCTGCAGCTTCATCACCAGGGTGGCCGCGTGGCCGTCCACCTTGGCGGCCGCCGCCTCCTTGGAGCCGGCCCTGAAGGCTGTATTGATCCAGTCCTTCACGTCGAAGTCGTCGGCCAAGAACTTGGAGAAGTCCATGGTGGCAACACTCAGGCCTCACGCCCAGGCCTTAAGCGCTGGCTACGTGGCAAAGGGAATATTGACGCAGACCACCTGGTGAAAAGAGAGTCAACACCTACGGCGCCCGGCTGGCCCTCCAGGGCCGCTTCCTAAACGCGCTCGGCACCACGGCTGGAAATGAGCCTTGTCGCGCGCTGTAGCTCTTCCGGAAGTGGGTGCCGTTACCACGGCGACCACGGGTGCCGCGAGCGCTGTGATCCCTTCGGTGTTGGGGAAACCTCGCAACTGAGAACCTGCTCTAGTACCAGCACCGAATAATCATCTCGAGCCTCTGTCTGGCTTCTGCTATAAACATTCGGAAACACTGCATGGTTCAACAATCTATATATAGATCATTCGGGACAACTGGGCTTCATGAGGAGGAATGTGGCATCAGGATTGGAAGAAGACTCATCAATAACCTGCATAATGCAGATGACACAGTCTTGCTTGCTGAAACTGAAGGGAACCTGAAGCACTTGCTGCAGAAGGTCAAGGACTATAGTCTTCAATATGAATTGAAGCTCAATATCAAGAGGACAAAGATTCTCACCACTGGACCACTTGGCAGCAGTATAATGGATGGAGAAGAGATTGAGGTTGTTAACCAATTACAGCTTGATCGGGTCCACAATCACCACTCTTGCCACCAGCAGTCAGGAAATCAAAAGACGAATTGCATTAGGTAAATCTGTCAAGGGCCTTTTCCGATTACTGTGAAGCAACAAGGTACTTCTAGAGACTAAGGTGCCCCTGATCCAGGACATGGTCTTTGCAATTACTTGCTATGCATCAGAGAGCTGGACAATGAGTAAGGATGACAGAAGAAGAATTGATGCCTTTGAGTTGTGGTGCTGGAGAAGAGTCTTGAACATTACACACACGGCAAAGAAAACAAATAGTTTTGTCTTAGAGAGAGTGAAACCAAGTTTCTCCTTGTAGGCTAGGATTTTGAAGCTCTGTCTCAATACTTTGGGCATGTGGCCAGGAGTTCCCAGTCCTTGGAGAAGGTCATCATGCTCAGAAGGGTGGAGGACCAGCACAGGAGAGGAAGACCCTTGATGACGTGGATTGATACAATATCTAGGACAATGGGGGTCGGTGTGCCGGAATTTAGTGAGATTGGCTCAGGACAGGACAGGCTTCAGAGCTGCTGTACATAGGGTCGCAATGAGTCTCAGGTGACTCCATGGCATGTAACAACAACAACATGTTAAATTAAGGGAGTTGTAGTGGCTTAGTCTTTTGGAAATTTTACTGCTTACCAAAAGGTGACACCCTTCCAGTGATTTGAATCCACCCGCTGCTCAGGGAGAAAGGTGGGCAGTCTTCTCCCTTGCAATTTACCTGCAGCAAAAACTCACTGGAGGGTCACCTATGAGTCTGTTCTGACTCAAGAGAAATTAGAGAAAGAAGGAGATGCTATATATAAAACTGATAAATATGTACTACTACAACAACAAACATAGTTAACCCTTACAGTTCTGTTTAAAAAAAAAAACAACCACCACACACACACACACACACACACACACACACACAGCGCCAGGAAATTAAAAGACAAACTGCATTGGAAAGTATGCTGTTAGAAACCTCTCCAAAGTACTGAAGAGCAACGATGTCAGTCTGGAGACTGAAGTGTGCCTGATCCAGGCCATAGTCTTTGCAATGACTTGTTATGCTTCAGAAGGATGGACAATGACTAGGGATGATAAGAAAATTGATGCTTTTGAGCTGTGGTGCTGGAGAAGAGTGTTGAATACACCATGGACTGCTAGAAGAACAAACAAGTTGGTCCTCAAGAGGGTGAAACCAGGCTACTCCTTGGAGGCAAGGATTCTGAAGCTTTGTCTGACATACTTTGGACATGTTGCAAGGAGGGACCAGTCTTCAGAAAGGGACATCATGCTTAGGAGGGTGGGGAGACAGCACAAGAGAGGAAAACCCGAAATGAGATGGATGGATTCAGTGACTGGGGTAACGGGGGTAGATGTGTCAGAGACAATAAAATTGGCACTCTTTCGAGCAGAGTTTAGGGCTGTTGTACCTAGGGTCGCTATGAGTCAGCAGCACATAACAACTGCCATGGAGTTAATTTTGATCCATGTCGACCCTACCTTAGGTTGTAAATTATTTCCTCTTGCTTAGATCCACAGCACTCTTGGCACCAGCAGTCAGGAAATCAAAAGATAAATTACATTTGGAAAACTTGCTGTCGAGGATCTCTCCAGAGTGTAAAGAGCAACGATGTCTACACTAAAGTGTGCCTGATCGTGGCCATGGTCTTCTCAGTTGCTTGCAATGCATCTGAGAGCTAGAGAGTGAATAAAGATGACAGAAAAAGAATGGATGCCTTTGAGTTGTGGTGCTGAAGAAGAATATTATACAATACCATGGACTGCCAAGAGAACAAATAGGACTGTCCTGGACAGAGTAAAACCAGTTTGCTCCTTTGAGGCAAAGATTTTGAAGCTCTGTGTCACGTACTTTGGGCATGTTGCCAGGAGGGGGCAGTCCTTGGAGAGAAACATCATGCTTGAAAGGGTGGAGGGTCCGCGCAGAAGAGAAGACCCAGGATGAGATGGACTGATACAGTGACGGGCAATGGGGTCTTATGCGTGTGTCACAGACAGTGAGATTGGCTCAGGATAGGGCAAGTTTCAGAGCCATTATTCATAGTGTCGCTATGAGTTGTAGTTGAACACGATGGCACATAACAAAAAATCTTTTTGTGCCTCTTTTCTACTAATTCCTTCTTCCACACTCAGCCAAAGACAACTTCCTATCTGTATAAATTTGCCTTTTCTGGACATTTCACATACCTGGAATCCTGTCACTCACTCTCTTTTGTCTCCAACCTCTTTCATTTGGCATATTTTGTTTGGATTTTTTTTTTTTCTTTCTTCTTGTGTACTGTTGAATAAGATCTGACTAGCACAAGAGGAGATTGTCCCTCCTTCTCCAGTGGAGCATCTGGTGCATATGGACCTGCATCTTTAGGATCCCAGCACAACTTCTTGCCACTAGGCCACCAGAGCTCCCTCTCACTTGGCATGTTTTTTAAGTACATCCAAGTTGTACCAGTCAGTAAGTAGTGTCTTCTCTGTTGTGGGGACATGACCTATTTTATCCATTCACCAGTTGATGGATGTTATTATTTCTTTTTTTTTTTTCATTGCAGTTTGATGCTTCTTTATTCTGGTGGTTCAAAAAGCTCTCGGATGTTATTATTTCTTGCTTGCAACTATTAGAAACAGTGCTGCTAAGATGTCTCTTACATGTCTGCATGTGGGCATGCTCTCATTTCTCTTGGACAGATTCCTAGTACTAGACATTATGGGTTAGTGTTTAAATTTGGGGGACTACCTGACTTTCCAGAGTGTCTGCACCCCTTTACACTCCCATCAACACGACCTGAAGGCTCCAGCTTCTATATCCTCACTCATACCTGGAATGTAATGGCAGCCTATCCTCTTCATTTGTAGCTCTCTAATAACCAGTGTTGATGATTGTGGAGCCAAGAAAACTGAAGCTGTTAACAATCTCATTCTCTTCACTATCTATCACGATGCTGCCTATCGGCCCAGTGGTGAGAATCTTTGTTTTCTTGATACTGAGCTTCAATCCTTATTGAAGATTTAAGTCCTTGACCTTCTGTGGCAAGTGCTTCAGGTCCTCCTCCTAAGTTTCAGCAAGCAAGGTTGTGAACTGCACTGGGAAAGTCTGCTGTCAGGTATCTCTCCAGAATACTGAAAGGCAATAATGTCAGTCTGGAGGCTAAGGTGCACCCGATCCAAGCCATGGGTCTTCGCAATTACTTGCTGTGCGTCAGAAAGCTGGACAATGACTAGAGATGATACAAGGAAAATTTATGCCTTTGAGCTGTGGTGTTGGAGAAGAGTGTTGAATATACCATGGATGGCTAGGAGAAGAAACAGGTTAGTCCTAGAAAGGGTGAAATTTTGACGCTTCATCTGACATACTTTGGGCATGTTACAAGGAGGGTCCAGTCCTCAGAATGCCGTCATGCTTGGGAGTGTAGAGGGACAGCACAAAAGAGGATGATCCTCAATGACAAGGATTGACTCAAATAACTGATAATGAGGGTAGGTATCTCAGAGACAGTAAGGCAGGCTCAGGATAGAGCAGGCTTCAGAGCTCTTGTACATGTGGTCACTATTTATGACTCATAACAAGAACAATAACACCAATGACATCTTTTCATATGCTTATTACTCAGTTCCACAATCAACACTCTTGGCACCATCAGTCAAGAAATTAAAATATGAATTGCACTGGGAAAATCTGCTGTCAGGGACCTCTCCAGAGTGCTAATGAGTAATGATGTCAGTCTAGACACTAAGGTGCACCTGACGCAGGCCACAGTCTTTGCAATTACTTGATATGCATCGGAGAGCTCGACAATGAATAACAATGACAGAAGGATCAATGCCTTTGAGTTGTAGCTCTGGAGAAGAATATTGAACATATACCATTGATAGACAAAGGAACAAACAGGCTTTTCCTGGAGAGGATGAAACCAAGTGGCTCCTTGCATGTTGCCAGGAAGGACCAGACCTTGGAGGAGAACATCATGCCTGAAGGGAGGAGAGACATTATAGGAGAGGAAGACCCTGGAAGAGATGGATTGACACAGTAACTGGGGTAATGGGAGTAAGTGTGTCGGACACAGTGAGACTGTCAGGATAGGTCAGGGTTCAGAACTATTGTTAATATAGGGTTGCTAAAAGTCATAGGCAACTTGACAGAGCATAGCAACAACATATTCATCAGTGTAATGTCTTTTCACTATTTTCAAACTGAGTTTGTTTTTAAAATTTTCTTTTGAGTGAAATTTTACAAATTGGTTTTTCATGCAACAATTCACACAAATGACATTGCATGACTGTCATTACAATCTCCACATTGGAGCGGCACTCTTCCCTCTTCTCACTTGTGTTTCCTGTATCCATTCATCT